CCATTCAAACCGCAGATTGGTCAATAGAATAGGAGATTTTCCTGGAACTCAGTCTGTAATACTCTAGATCACAGTTGCTGCCTGCCCTGTTCTCTACTGCCAGTGCCAGGATGGCTCTTAAGATTTACCATTTCTCTGTTTCATGTTGGATAAATGGTTACATATTTGTTAGCTTACAGAAGTGTTGATCTTATAACACAGTGATAATGTTCCCTTGGCATGTGGGAATCAAAGGCTAAAGTTGCTGCTCCTGTTACTTGTATTCATAGGAGAAGAAAAATGCCCCATTCCCCAAAACCCCCCAATGAAACCCTAAAGAGGAGGGAAGCACTGGCCTGTGGAACAAGGCGTCTGTGTATGTAGGGAGCTCCGCTGAGCCATGCAAGACTCTGGGTCAAGCTCCCATTCTGTCTCCTTAGATTAAGGACTTGAAGTGCAACCTTAGCTTAGATGGATAAAGTATCTTTTTTTTTTTTTTTTTTTGCTAAGATAGGGGATAAAATCTTCTTATAGAAGTTTCAGGATTAAAGAAACAACATTTTTAACAAAAAAAACCCAAGTAACTTGGTTGGAAAATTCTAAATCTTTCATGTCTGAGAGAGTATTTTGGTTCTGGTAGCTTATATTTGGCAGCTTACATAAAGGTTGATATAATTTTTTCTGAACTATGGTATATGTTTCTGGTGCTACTTAAATAATTCCAGCAGTAGCAATTCTATTCTCCTCAAATTATTTTATACTAACATTATTACCCATATGGCTAGTACCTTTTCTATTTAGTGGTATTAAAAAAAAAAAAAAGAAAATGGTGCTAGCAACACAGACACCCAGTTTGAGAATTCATTGATGTAATCTGTTTTAGCAGATCTCAAAAAGAATTAAAAATCAAACCCAACCATCAGACAAGAACTTAGTCGTAAAAGTATGTTTCAGTTAGGGAAAAAAAAAAAAAAAAAGAAAAGACACTCACAACCAATGGAAGAATGTTACACAACAGGTAAAAGAGACAGCATCATTCCTGCACAATATACTGTAATACATTTTAGTATAATATTAAACTGTTTTCAAAATATGTGATCCCATGATAATTTCTTCAAGCTGTGAAGACCGAAAAAACAAAATATTTCAGATATTTCTAATAAACTTATGTCACATACCTAAGTTATGTGATGTTTGTGCTTGATCCCAGCTAGTAGCATGGTGTAGAGACACCTCCTAAATTGTCATCACGCTTGTGTTGTTCTTTCTGATGCTGAATGAGCCAGGGTCATTCTAAGAAGCACTACATTAAGAGAAAATCCATGCAGTATCTCACTGATGTATATTGATACTTCTTCTTTCTGATTTGGGTAGGATCTGAACTGAAACACTGTGAGGCATATTTCCTTCGTACACTCATAAAGTCCTTCAAACTGGATTACAGTCTAAATGATTCCACATCTAGTATTTGTCTAATAGCAGTATAATTTGGATCATGTGGGTTTTGTCAACTTTTAATCAATACAGATGAGACAAGCCCACTTTCTTTTCATATACAGTAGTTGATTTGTATTTGGCATGTGATGATTATATATTGTTTTATCAAATAATTAGAAGGATATCTCACTGGAGGGACTGACATCAATATTTCCTGTATTATACGTTTGCAGCCTTTTGGGTTTATTGGCTATATTTTCCTTTTTTCTTTATTTTTTTTTCAGGATTTGAAAATAATGACATTTTACCAGTGGAGTAACTGTTATATCTGACTACAAAATAAATTTTGTTTAGGTAGCACTTGAGAGAAGATTCTACCTTATTTGGACGAAAACCTATGGGTAAAAGTAAAAACAAACAAACAAAAAAAAGGTGTGCAAATTTGGATGATGACAGAAATTTAGAGCCCGTATCTGACATTTGTGAACAAAATTGATAGATTAGCGACCAACCATATTTCACTGTCAGTGAAATTTTACCTAGTTAATTATGTGCTGAATACATATAACTGAACTCACTCATATACTACATATGCAGTAACATGTGTGCAACTGAATCAAAGACATAGGCTTGGCATGGAGATGGAGTCTCATCCACACGTTTGACTAACTAATCAACCTCACTGTTAAACCATTCGGTTAATGAGAAAATAATGTTCTTCACTGGAATTTGAATTGGCTAGTTTCAATTTTCAGCCAGCGTATATAATATATTGATAGTGGTTCCAGAAAATTTCTATACAAAATCCATGTTCCATCTATATCAAGAAGGCTCTGGAAAGCAAACTGGTGCACAGAACATAATCCTAAAACTATGTATATGAACAAGTCTTTAGTACTTTAACAACAATTAAGCACATTCTGTCTTATTTACAGTTATGGGCTGGGTTTTTTGGAACCTTGAATTTTGAGGGGATAATGACATTTTAAACAGAAAAGAAAATCATAAAATAAACATTTTAGCTAAATACAGGTATAAAGCCTCCCTCGCCAAGTAAGAAGATTACATTCCTTGTAAGACCACAGGAGAATGAATTTCTGGTTCAACTTTATTAACTTTATTGACAAATGAAAATAAAATAAAGTGAATATTATCCACAGTAAGAAAACCTAAGTTTCTGGATACCTGAAAATATTTAGGAAGAAAATATTAAGGGGCAGAAAGTGTCTACTATAACCATATGGAAGGCTGTTGTTCCTGAATTCAATCAAATCAGAAAGATTTCCCCTTTAGCTTTCACGATGTCAAATGACCAACCGTTAGATTTATAAAGCCCATAATTTAGAGATTTTTAATACCAGACCATAGCATTGATTTTTCTGTGGCATGTTCATCCTTCGTATACAAACACTGTATATAAAATCTGTACTTAATGAAGTATGTAGTTCTTTTTCAGCCTGGATGGAAAATGCACTTTCCAATAAAGAAAATTAAGAAAAAAAAATGGTTACTAATTTACTAAAATGGTTACTAAAATGGTACTAAACAAATTTTATTTGTTTAGTAGCCGTGTTTCAGTTTTAAATTAACTTAGAAATTGAGTTTCAAATTAATAATTCACTCTTTAATAAATAATTTTTTACATTGCACTGGGTTACTTGCCAGAGAAATAGGCACAGTAAATAAAAAAAAAAAATTTGGTAGGAGGATAGTTTAGTGTCATTTTTTCAGTCAGAAAAAAGATTTATTACCCAAGGAAAAGCATGATGATGAACTATCATGTTGTTTCCCTTTGCTCTTGTAAGCGCAAGCTATGATGTGTGTGTGTGTGGGGGGGGAGGTGTATGTGTCTGTATCTGTGTGTATGTATGCATCTGGGTGTATGTATGCATGTGTACAGATAAAAAGTATTTTGAGAAAGCACACTGAATCCAAATTAGAATGTATTCATTGTTAAATCTTTTAAAAAATAAGTGCAAGCTTGTTATCCTGGTAAGTAACTGGTTTCAATTAATTTCTAGATTTTTTTAAAGAGCATGAAACATGGTATAATATGAACGAGGGCTAAGGGGCAGAAAGTGTCTACTATAACCATATGGAAGGCTGTTGTTCCTGAATTCAATCAAATCAGAAAGATTTCCCCTTTAGCTTTCACGATGTCAAATGACCAACCGTTAGATTTATAAAGCCCATAATTTAGAGATTTTTAATACCAGACCATAGCATTGATTTTTCTGTGGCATGTTCATCCTTCGTATACAAACACTGTATATAAAATCTGTACTTAATGAAGTATGTAGTTCTTTTTCAGCCTGGATGGAAAATGCACTTTCCAATAAAGAAAATTAAGAAAAAAAAATGGTTGCTAATTTACTAAAATGGTTACTAAAATGGTACTAAACAAATTTTATTTGTTTAGTAGCCGTGTTTCAGTTTTAAATTAACTTAGAAATTGAGTTTCAAATTAATAATTCACTCTTTAATAAATAATTTTTTACATTGCACTGGGTTACTTGCCAGAGGAATAGGCACAGTAAATAAAAAAAAAAAAATTTGGTAGGAGGATAGTTTAGTGTCATTTTTTCAGTCAGAAAAAAGATTTATTACCCAAGGAAAAGCATGATGATGAACTATCATGTTGTTTCCCTTTGCTCTTGTAAGCGCAAGCTATGATGTGTGTGTGTGTGGGGGGGGAGGTGTATGTGTCTGTATCTGTGTGTATGTATGCATCTGGGTGTATGTATGCATGTGTACAGATAAAAAGTATTTTGAGAAAGCACACTGAATCCAAATTAGAATGTATTCATTGTTAAATCTTTTAAAAAATAAGTGCAAGCTTGTTATCCTGGTAAGTAACTGGTTTCAATTAATTTCTAGATTTTTTTAAAGAGCATGAAACATGGTATAATATGAACGAGGGCTAATTTTGGACCAATTTCATATCTGGAATTGACTCAACTCTATGTTTCTCCTTCATTTTCAGTTTACTGTTTTAAATGTCTTTTTGCTCATACAGGAAGGAAGGTTAAAAGGAGGGCTGTCCGGTTTATCTTGGTCCCTTCAAGTTGTATAAGACTCCATAATAATTTTATTTATATTGGTTCCATTTGAACTTCAGGTTGTGGCTAATAGTTAATATATCCTAATCAGGATGAATAAAATGTGAAGTCATTGACGACAGTGACTGAAGGCGTTATTTCTTCAAGGTTACAAAATGGAATATATTAGTTGCATTTCTTATGTAGAAACCATAATTTGGTGAATTTTTAAATATACTTTTTTGGTTTATAGTATTCTTTTTTAATAGCACATTAATTTTGTTTTTGCAGCAATCACTTTTAACTGAAATAACTGCATTGTCACAAAATACGATACATTTTTTCAAGTGTTTTCTATTTGTTCTTCTTGACATTTTACGTTTATGTGCAGTTTGCATCTTTTTTGTTTTTCAATTTCAAATGTAACAGATTTTGACATTTTTGTTACATTTTTCTTTTTTGGGGGCTATTGTGTTTTTCATTTTTGAGAACCTGCTGTTTTTGAATTCTCTTTTTCCCTTTATTCTCCTCCTCACTATGACCCAGGAGCCAACACAAAGAAAAGCGCAGATGATATAACCAGTAATGATCGTGGTGAAGATGAAGGTATTTTTTGTTTTTTCAAAGCTCAACCCTGATGCATGAACATAAACTTTTTTATTATTACTATTACTATTATTATTGTTATTGCTGTTATTTCAACATGATTTTTAGTCCCTTATTTGCAAAGGCACACCTGAGTGTGCTTCTTTATTTTCTTCTTGTCTAGAAACTACTTTCATTGTTTTTCTTTTTTAAATCCAAATTAGCATATAGATGACTGCAGTTCCCCTGTGACATAAGTGTAAAGCTTATCCCTAAATATGTGTGAAGTGAGTCGTATAAATATTATTTACAGCCACATGCTTTTTCCCCCCTATTCTTGCTTAGGATGAGAAAAGGAGTTTGAAACATGCATGTGCTCTTTTCCTTCTTATACATTTTGTAAATTCACCTGTTTGAAAT